AAGGCAACATGCAACTCTCATCACACGAGGTCAATCCAGGTTAATCCTCTGTGGCTTTAGTCAGATGTGAGATCCCGGCTCAGATGAAGGAGGCGGCTGCTCATGCTTTCACATGACAAGAACATGATGGATGTATTTATTTCTATGGTTTCAACCAATATTCAGATAGATTCAGAGCCAGCTGCTGGCACAGAGAGCCAATTCATTTAATAACAAGGAGGTGTGGAGATTATTACGGATATATTCAGGCTTTACTGAGCAAAGTGAGGAGAATTAGGATTGATAACACAGACATGTTTGTCTGACACGCATTCAACTTTATTAAAGGTTATGGGACATTCATGGGAGTTTGTGCCTAATCCAGTGGACCAGACGACCTTGTGCACACAGTGCTATGCTGAACTACTCAAACCTTTCATTTTTAGTGATTTTGTTATAACCACCAACTTTAATTTGTTTGAAAATGTAGAATAAAACTGACATTACAGTTTTTACTGGAGGCTTTTGAGCTTAGGGTATTTTATTTTAGGGCATCAGAGCCACACTTCAGATTTGTGTTTGCAAAACAAACACAAAGTCTGATTTTCCTTTAGCTCGCAGTCGTTTGCTTGTAATGTGACAAAATGTTGACATAAGGCTGTAAATGGTTTGTCGTTTTACCTGTGCTCCTTCATTTACTGTACTCCAAACACATTCTTGGGCCTCACTCGCTTCCTCTGGATAAGCTTCTTGCTAAAAATCCTTGGTGTTCTCGACTTTTTGGAAAGCAAAAGCAGCTTCACTAGGAAACTGCTATTTTAATTACACACGTCTCACACACCTCAGAACAAACATTCTCACAGAAGAACAAAAACAACCTTCCAGCTGGGTTTTCTTCCTCAGCTCGATGTGAAGGGAAGCTAAATTTACACCACCAAGACACAAGGGTTTGTTCCTGCATGCACCAGTTCAACAACTGGACAGTTTACATGTCCGAAAGACTAAACAGTGAAAAAGAAAACAATCAAAACTTGATGCGTGGTACGTTGACTACGTGTCTGCTGGGCGTAAAATAAAATGAATTCTTCCCGATATAAAATTAACATCAAACACAAGCTCAGTTCTTCCTCAGAGAGCTAACTGCTTGATACAAAATAAAAATTAAAAGCAAGCAAAGTTGCAAAGAGAAAAAGTGAAAACTTCCCCTCGATGATGTAAAACAGCAGGACAATGGGGTCGAAGTTGAAACTATCTGGGATTATCTTTTTAAATTCAGTGACCACACCCTGTGCGCTCTTTGCTGAAAGACTAGAAAACAGTCACAGGAAGGACTATATCAAGATGGAGTTCCTTTTTTAAGTCCCAGTCTTATTGTTCCACCTCGGAGCGGGAGAGAGGAGCAGACGCACTCCTTCCTCGCCTGACGTAAACAGGAGACCCACAAACAACCAGCGACCTCAGGGTCAGACTTTTCAAAATGTTTGCCTTGTCCTCTACCTGTTACAGGGTAAACACAATGCATTTGCATTTACAATAACACACTCTTCATTGTGGCTACTTGATCTGTGTTTTGAGACCAGAATGGAAAGATCTGGGCCAGATGCAAAATTTTAATAAAAGAATTACATAACACTTTTCAGGACAGATGCTTAAAATGCTGTTTGATGGAAAACTAAAACTTCACATCACTACAAACACACCTTCCTCACTGTAAAACATGGTGGTGGCAGCACCATGCTGTGAAGAAGCTTTTCTTCAGTCTGAACAAGAAAGCTAACAACGTTAAGAAGTTGAATTGAGCTAAATGAAGGACGAACGTGGAAGAAAACCTATAAGAAGCTGCAGCAGAAAAACTGCAGTCAACACACAATGCAATGGATTCACACATCAGAATGGTCCAGTCAAAGTTCAGACTGATATATGAATCTAACTAACAAGCTGTGGCAGAGCATAAAAAGTAAAACTGATGCTCACAAAAGGAGAGAGTAACGCCTTGTTCGGCTATTTTTAGCCACTGTTTTCAAATAAAAAGTCAAGAATAACCCACAAACACATATACAAAACCAAAATATAAGTTACTTTTGTGGTAAAGCTTTAAAAGAGTTAACATGGAGAAAGTCTTTAGTTACCTTGTATGTAGAGGATATGATTCTGTTTATGCGCGAGTCCCCATGGATTTGTGCAAATACAGATCAAGCTTAGCATAAAACTTTGTTGTACATACATTCAACAATAAACTGGATTCATGTGTGGTACTGAGCTTTTCTGCTCTGGGTACCTGAACTTTAATCCGTTTTATTAATCTGCTTACACGCAATGTTTGGTCTTCACTTTTTATGAATGACAGAAAACAAATGGTGTCCCCCTCCTGGATCAAATAGAAGCACATAATGCTGAGCTGCTGTGGTTTGTTCTAATCCTGACAATTACATGATATTTCACGACAACAATATAATACAAACTTTATCTGATGTAAGCGTTGAGGTTGTAAATCTGCGCGTGAGAGCTGCTGCTCATCCAAAACGAAATAAATTGGACCTCCTCGATGTTCTCAGGATCTGTCGGTGCTCTTGTGTTGCGGCGGCAGAGCTCAATTTATCATCCTCCCCTTTATTGACTCAAGATGAAAACTCAATAATTGCACCAACAAAAACGAGGCCAGAGGTGCAACCATATAATGTTTGTTAATGAGCTGAACACCCACTTAGTCACAGCACATTTGTGGTGCTAAAATTAGCCATAAAGTTTAAGTTTCCTGTTTAAGTCTAAGGACTTTCAAAAACAAATCTTAGTGAATTATTATACCAGAGTTTCTATCAAAGAATGACAATCATATGCCAGCAGCCACAACCCGATTGCCTGATGTAGAGAGGGATTGACTTTTGCCCTTCAAGTGCGATGCATTAATCATTTTCTGCTATTGAAAGGGAAAGCCTCAGAGTGCAACAAAGCTTCAGATGGATTGCACTTAAAGTCCCAGTCGCCCAAGTGTCTGATTTTTAATATCAATGTGTCTTTTCAGCGACGGACTCCTATTCAAAAACTGGAGCAGCTACAGTGGTATCCACAGCACTTTCCTTAAGATCTACAGCACTTCACATTATGTGAAAATGATCGCTGCATAACTCTAGCTGGGAGCGAAGAGGCGTAAGGATGCTGTTCAGAAACTGTGAAATTGCGTTATCAAATAGGGATTAAATGAATGAACTGTGGTGTCGTTCTGATCACAGACTTGTGGGTTTTCTGAGCCTCCCTTTGAGAAATTTGTATCTGAAAAATGCAACCATCCTCATCCATTTCAATATAAAAATGGAGCACTTTTACAAATGAGGTCAAGCCTTCTCTGAAAACAAATGGAGCCAAATATGAAATAGTTTCATGCGATGCACAGCTCAAAACAACCTGTACTGTTTTTCCCCTCTGCAGCTGCACCGATCAGCCTCAGAGTCACCGCCCTTATTAATGCAGTTGTTTGTTTGCGGTGGTCCACTGCACACATGTTTTTAGTGTAATAAATCTTCACCAGCTGACCACAATTCTTTTTTTTTTTTTTTTTTGTCTTTACTTCAGCGCTGGTGAGTCACAGTGAATGTATGGTTAAATAGTGTCCATGGGCTGCTAAGGATGTGGAGCTGGGCTGAGCAGGAAACAGGGAGAGCAGTTTCCTGTTTTGTAATAAAAAAAAGAGCCTGTTGTGCAGCAATCAAACAGACAGATGGGTGTGCAGTGGGAACAAGACTGGCTTATCAATGTGGGGGGCTTTATTCCAGCTTCAGGATACTTTCATGAAGACTATTATTTACCAGAGCCACTCTGTTAAAAAAAAATAGCTAGAATTATGTACATTTAACAACTAAAATGTTAAATTAACATGGAACAAATAGACCAATCACATTTTAAGTGACACAGTAAGGCTGGTTAACTATTAAAATAATTTTCTTTATTTGTTCCTATGTTAGAAAAGAAAAAAGATTTTTCCACATTGTAATAATGGGTTATTTGTCAGAAATGAATCTTTTAATACAATGGAATAAAGCTCTACTGTAACAAAATGTGGAGAAAAATGTGAATGCTTTCTGGAGCTTTTTTGGTCGTATAAATACAATCAATTTCAGCAAAACTAGCTGAATAGTTTATATAGAGGCATATTAAGAAATTAATTTCATTTTGTGGAACCTTTTTTGGACCCATATGGACTAGTTTTTGTCCAGAGATTCACACCAACCCTACATAGCCCTACATAATGCTAACAATCCCAATGGGGCCTGTTGTCCACTAATCAGGGGCCCATAATGTAAATGTTGGCATAAGATTAAATGCCCCTCAAACCATCTAGTAATGATACTGCAGATGTTCTTCACTTAAGGTCATTTCCAAAACAGAAATGGACACATATTGTATTTTACTCGTAATATTTAAATCAGCACAAATTAGATATAAACTCATTTCAGAGGTTGAATCAATTTTGAGTAAAATTATTTTAGGAAACACAATTTAAATAGTTTTGAAAGGAGAAATTTGTTCATTGCTGTGTTCCAGCTGTTTAAGAAAATTCATTATTTGCAGAAATAAATTATGCATAAAATCCAGACAAATTTATGAACGTCTGAGTTTAATAGATTCAATTAATTATAACTGTTTGTTTCATTTTTGTGCCATCAATAGTCAACGTGTTGTTAGACTGGCGATGAACTCCAGGATTGCAGCTGTTTCATTTCTCAATGCTGCACAGTGGATTTCAGTGAAAGGTTAATACTATCAGCTGTTATTATGAATTGGGGTCATTTTTCTAATAGGATTATTGCAAAGCTTTAACGTCATTAAAGCGAAAAAAAAATCATGTGCGGCGTAGTCTGCTGCCCTTTCCCCCCCCTGCACCATGAACCAAAGAGCGCTCATAAGACAACCAACTAATCAGCCTCGAGTTTGCGCTGATGTTACGGTTCTCGGTTGTCTCGGCGCTTGTCCGGACCTGCAGCGTCTGTGTGTCTGCAGAGGGATGTCAGCGGCGGTGTGTGTGTGTTATCAGAGCGAGTCCCCCACGTTTGGCTTCCAGTCGCGTCCTGCGCGCTGTGGGACGCGCGGGCGATCAGCTGAGCAGGAAAGGAGACGGAGCCAGCGGTGAGGAACAGGCGCAGTCGCTCAGCGTCCTTGTGGACATTTGCGGCGGAGTTTACTGCCGGGATCCGCTGCCGATTGTTCGCAAAGTGTCCTGCGCCGCGTCTGCGTCTGCGGACGGGATGTTGGAGGTGGTCGCCGCGCAAAAATGAACACAGGTGAGATGATTTTGTTTGTCCCCATTACAATGTTTGACCACATTTTCTGAAGATCAGAGGAAAATATTAGTTGTTATATGGTGTGATATTTTCACTTGTTACATTTGTTACTGAACTCGGAATCAAACACCAGAAAAATAACTTTTTTTTCTTCAAGAAGACATAGTTGTGCTTTTTCAAGAAAAACATCTGATTTAAAACTCAGACTGCCCCTACTGTATAAAAAGCAGCATAATTATAAATCCCTGAACATAAGTTATGTAAAATTGTGTATTAAAAAGTAAAGGCTCACAATGTTTGATGTAGTTTCAGTGAAATAACTGTTTTGCTGTTTTGAAGGTTTTGGGGGTACAGTTGGCTGGCAAGATCCATAAAAGACATATTTTGGTTCATAATGGTTTTATCTATTGTTTCATGTATTGTTCTTAAAGCTAACGGCCTCCTGACAGGGGTCTCTTTGGCTTGAATCACAGGAAGTGAGTCAGGGAAATCCCTCAGACCTCTTTGTATTCTTTTGGAACCCTGTCAAAGCATTACCAGTGCGTTATCGCCTTTCTGTAACACCAGATTTCAACAAGCCCACTGTAGTTTGGGGAATTAGCCATCCTACTGAAAAAGACGGACCAAGAAAACCAGGTGTTGGCACAGTTTTGCTTCTCTTGTAGTGGTTCATTAAGATTAAGATGGACATTCTCTTCCAAAACTGCTGGGAGACAAACCATATAGTTTGGGTTACTCTATAAAATTAGTTTTTGGACAAATATGGTGTTTCATTCCCCATAAGCACTTCCAGTGATAATCAGAGCTGTTTTTGCAGACACAGCAAAACCAAACTTTAAGAAGAGTTTGGTTTATTTATGGTCAGAAAGCCAACTCTATGAAACATCTCATACATTAAATTTGTCCATACAACCCACCGATTGACCTCTATTTGTCCATCCATTCATGTATCCACTTCTGTTTGTCATACATTGAGTTGAAGGAGCCTAAACATTACTTCACAACATTATTTTACTCTGAGTACCATGATACAGATGTTTTAATTAAAAATTGTGTTATATGGAATTGCAGGAGGTCCTTCCACTCCAGCACAACAAACTTGGGTACAATATCTATTTAAAACTAATTGGTATCTGTTATAATGACATCAACAAAGGATTCAGCTTTAGAGAATAGTGAATCAGTTTGTAGAAAGTACATTTGTTTGGTTCTGTGTGTAGAAAAGGCCTTCCTCGTCTTATAACAGAAGTCTTCACCATATTAAGATTGCTCTGTTGACAATCTTTGGCAACCTAAATTTAGCTAGCACCTATTTGAGACTGAAAATGTGGGTTGTTTATGGATCATTACACATGCAATACTTTTACAAAACATTGTTTGCTTTCTGGTGTGGCAAAACTCTTTTACTCTACGCAGGGTGGTTAACATAGCAGATTGCCAGCAGGAAATTAGTTAGTTTCACGCATTTTGTTGAGAAAGTGTTTTACTGTAATCTCAGTGGTCTGACTCTGACCACACACTATTTACTTCTATGTCTTTGTAAGTTGCTGAGCCATTTTAGGTCACAGGAACGCCACACAAATGACCCTGTGAGCTATTTTAAAGTCAATAATCTTACAGTTTCCCTTTCCTGTTGTTCTTTTAGACTGCACCCAACCTTCAGCGGTTCCAACGGCAAGATTTGTTTGTCACGCCAACCTGAAGCTGCTTTCCCCTCTGACCTCTGCATCCAGGGGTCCTAAACCTTCTGTAGCCCCAAAACCTAAAGTCAAAGTGCTGATAAATGGCAGCCAAGGAGGGTTCAGTAACGGGAGTGCACAATCTTCTGATGCAAGGGGTGACGAAGCCACTGTGAAGCAGAATGGCCTGAACAAAGTGATCATGAATGCATCATCTGGGAGGAAACACTTAAATCTCAGTAGTCTCAAATTCGACAAAAGAGATCTAGAAACTATATCAAAGGGGACGACGGACAGTGGAGGCACAGAAGCGGAAAAGGAGGAAGATGAAAGTAAGAACATGGATGATTGCAGATTAACAGACAGTGGCCTTACAGAGGAAGGGGACTCCCTGAAAACACTATGGGTCAGTGACGACAGCCTCCCAGCTGACGCCGAGGAGGCAGAGGAGATCACTGACACAGACGACACAGATGCTGGAGGTTGTGATGGAGGTGAGGCACTGGCTGACGCGGACGGCCTCTCAATGGGAGACATTTCCGCTGGTGCTGAAGATCGATTGTTTTGCCACTCCGTCGTAATGCAGGAGCAGATTCAAACAAATGGAGACAGAAGTACTGCAGATGATTCATCAAAGTCTTCTTCTGGTGAAAATGGGTTATGTCTTAAGGAGAGACTGACGGACACTCACGGAGGAGGGAAAGAGCCAGGTCCAAATTGGTGCTGTAACAGCCTGAAGTTGATGTGTGGCCATCAAATTAATGGAAAGAGTGAAAATCAGCAGGAGACCAGTTTGTATGACTACATTCCTAAAATCCACCAGCAAGTTTGTTCCGAAGCAATTGAGCCTTTTTACATCTGTTCAGAGGATATTATTAACATGACAGCTACGCTCTCAGAAAGTGGCAGTACGTCTGTCAAAAGAACTGGAGCACCACCTGGAAAATACAATGAAACATCTGAGAATAGACATTTAGTGAACACTGTTAAAGGTATTGAGTATGGCAGCAATGATGAGGCTAAAAAAATGGAGGACATGTTGAACCACTTGGACTGCCAGCCAAGGTTTAGACAGGTTGCCATGTCGGTGCCAACAGACACAGACACCTCACTGACGTCTTCTTTCTCTGAGAGCCAGCTGCTATCCCCAAATGACTCTGAAGTCTTCAAAGATGACGAGGATTTGGAGGGTCACATCGTGCCCTTTCTGGATGAAACCAGTGACATGGAGCTCAACATCACAGATGAGCATGTTTATGAGGAACCAGGGCAAAGTTCATGTACTGAAAGTGGTTTTCTTTTGGATAGCAAGACTGCTGGAATTAGAACACACTCTTTGTCAAATTATATTTCCACTGCTGTGGGGGATCGGGGTGTACAATTTCTCCATAAGACCTACATTAGTGGATTAGGACAACCTGCGTTGAGCAGCAGCCCAGTGTTAAATTCAACACGGCACAAAAGCTATTCCAAACCCAAATATTTGTCTCTGTACCCACGCTCCCTGTCCATGGAGGGACACAACACACCTCTCTGTATCTACAAGGATGACTCCTACAGACATAGAGATGGAGTTTCCCCATCTGAGAGCTTCTCCAGGTGCTCACCTCTCATCCAGTGCCCTGTCCACGCCGACCTCTTTGATGGATATCCCCCCTCCCTTTGAGCTGGCCTATATCACCAAAAAGCCTATCACAAAGAGTTCCCCTCTCTTCTTACTAGAGAAGAGTTTTCAGAGAAGGACAGGAAAAAGAAATCCTCCATTAAGCGCTTTCTGCTTAAATTTGGGTGGAAAACGGAACATAAGTCTGGAACAGATGCCAAGTCATCCTCGACGAAATCCTCGGCTGAGTCCAGCCATTGTTCACACAACAGACTTTTGGAGTTTGATCGGCAGAGCGTGAGTGGATCCCCACAACTAAATTTACGTCAGGCTAACAAGCCTCAGGGTTCACCTGAGTCTTCATCCCACTTTCTGTTCCACAAAGACAGTAGAAGGAAAGGGAACTCTGTGGCCTTCCTCAACAGGAGCGTTGTCCGAGTGGAGTCCTTCGAGGACCGCTCCCGAGTGCCTTTTGCACCTCTTCCTTTCACCAAACCCCGCTCCATCTCCTTCCCCAACACTAATACCTCAGATTATGAGAACGTCCCTCCACTCAGCTCAGATTATGAGAACGTTCAGGTGCCACAGTGGAGGCCAATTCGACAGATGCCACTCACACACTTCTTTGATCGCCCTACTCGAGTTTTGTCTTCAACAAATGAAACAGACGGTTATGTCGACATGAAGAGTCTTCCAGGATTTGAGACAAAAACACATTTACCTGAAGAGGAAACTGAGAGGTATGTTAACAAGGTTGACTGAATTAGAGCTGAAATTATATTTGCTTTAATGTGGCAGAAATCTGCTTTGTTTTTTGCTCATTAGTTGGAAAACTAATCTATTTCATCAAGGTGAAGGGACTATGACAGAGTTATTTGTCTGTTCCTTTAACATTTAGCAATTCTTGTCACACTCACCTGCACCACTCATCATTTCCACTAAGGTACTGGTATTTTAAAATGGGCAAACTTGGGTGGGGTTGTACCTGTTTAAAGATATCCAAATGAAGCCATATTTATTAACCAGCTAATATCAGTTTCTTATACATTTAATCTCTTCTAAAGAAATAAGCATTTCAAAAATGCTGTTAACTTTAGAGAGCTTCATTTTAGTAAGAGGTTTCATTTGGATAAGCAATGTCTTTTCATAATACTGTTCATACACAAGGTAATTCAAGGTAACTTCATTGATTTTCTGAAAATGAAATAAAATACATTAAAATATAATAAAGCTTAATATGTAAAACACTTTTTAAAAATTGGCTAAGAAGTAAGAAATGTTAATAAGCAATTTTAAAACATAAAAATTAAAAATGATTGTCAATAGATTGTTTTTGTCCATTACAGTGGTGTAGACAGCCTTTAATTCTACGCTTCAGTCACTCATCAGTGTCTGAGGAAATCGTTCATTTTGTGCTTTAGATCTGAGGAGAATAAAAATTAATGCTGGCTCACCTAAACAGACCTCTAGTTCATACATAACTTAAAAAGTTAAGGCTTCTTCAATTTTTGGTGAAGTAAAAAGTGTGTGAAAATGTTTTGTAGAGGAAAGTTTAATTGCATTTCCCAATTTCATGATCTGTGCAAAAGACCCCACAACAGTAAAATGTGTTTTGGGGTTGCTTTTTCTACTTTTGTCTAATTTTATTTTGACTGCTTCCACTAAACGTCAAGAAGTCAATAACTTAAAAGAAAAAAAAATACTATAGCATGAAAGAGTCTTAAGTCTGGCTTTGGTGTAGCCATGATTTAGATCTACTTCTTTTGATGTGTGACATCATTATTGTCAACATTATTGCCTCCTGCTGCACTGCAAAGTTATTGCATCAATATTGATTGGAATCCGAGTTTTCATTTTAGTCAAAAACTGAGGAAAGCAATATACCGGACTACGGTGGTGAGAGCCTTAATGAACTCCGGCTCTGTGCCGATATGTTGTTATGGCATGTTTGGAGGGAGGCTGAACAATGCTGTTAGAAATGTTGCCTTACTGATTTTTAAAGCTTCTTGTCTCTTTAATTTGGCATTATTTGTTTTTATAATCGAGTTGTTGTGTGCCCATCCCTCTCTGCATTCCTGCCTGTTTTGCCCATATCGTTCAGACCTCTCAGGATGAATAATAGTCAGAGCAGTTTGGACTCATTGCTCTTCTCCAGCCAAGCAGCTACATCAGGCATAGATATAATCTCAAGGTGCTCTGTAGTCAGCAGATGGTGTCTGCAGAGCTTCCCTCTTTGTGCTCACCATCTCTTATTGTGTATGCGCAACCAAACAGTACAGTATCGGGATAGAAATTGCAGCGAATTTTATTTATAAATGCACCAATATGTAATTTGAAATCAGTGACTGTGTTTTATATATTGTTACTACACCGATATAATAACAACCTGCATATGTAAAAGCTCCAAATGAGTCACAGATACATTATTTCATCTGCTCAGGTGTGTATGTCCTGATTTATTGCAATTTAAATGCAGAATGATGAGTCCAAATGTAAAACACCTGTGTGAGCGAATGCATTTCAAAAATAGATCTTAAATAATACATCTGAAAATGGATTGAGTCAAACCAGCTTCTGTGTTTTAGTAAAAAAACTGAAAACAACAAATCATATTCAGAGAGATGTAAAATCTTTGAAAGATATTTCAAAGATATCTTTTAAATTTCTTTAAAACATATATTTTAAAGATATTCAAAATATCTTTTAAATATACGCTTGAGCAAGTGTATATTTACACTTGAGCAAATACATATTTTGTTCACTTAAAGTATACTTTTATTTAATATATTTCTGAAAAGCAAACAGGCAGTAGTGGCTAACATCTTCTTGGCAAAGCTTTAGCCAAGTTGTACAGTTTGAGCATCATTCAAATGCACCATCGTCTGGTGTCTGCTTCCAGTTGAATAACGCACAAAATCATAAACCTCAGATCATCTCAAGCTGCTTATTTTTTCAACTTCAATGTGCTTTCAAATGACCTCCATGGTTACCATATATCAGTCAGACAGAGTACCGTTAATAAAAATGTCCCAAACCGTTAAAATTCAGCACAAAAGCAGAAATGAAAACAGCCTAGAGAAAAGATGAATTAGTTCATTAGAATCAATTAGAAACTTGACCCCATTTAGTCCTTCTCAGTGATCTATATACTTAAACAATTCATTCATATTTATTCTGGTGTAAAGCTTCTTTACTACTTTTCTTTGGAGCACACAACACACCATTTCTCATGCATCAATCAGAACATTTGTAGTTAAACTATCAAAAGGTTTTTTGGTAATAGATGTCCATGACAAGCTTGATTTTCCTGACCTGCTTTTTGTGATCCTGCCACTTTTGGTGGGTTATTGTAGCGTGAGTGGATCACCGTTTTGGTGACAAACCTTTCAGATAAGATGTTGTGTCCAAACCCCTGGAGACTCTTGCAGTGAAAGATGAAATTACTTTTTAATCAGCTTTGCTTTTTTTCCTGAGTTAGGGCGAGGTTTGATATCACGTCATTCATTGTCCTCTGGTTGGCCTGAGGTACAATCTGCTGCTTACTTTGGCCTGTAGGTATGAATTCAGATTCAGTCTTTTGATAACTGAATTATAACATTTGTTGATTAATTGTGATTGCTTTTTGTATATTAAAGTCAAATTACCTGGATGCACTGACAGTAGAGTTCATCCCCCACTCCTGGTAATTAGCAAATACAGATAATCTGGGTGACTCCAGCTCAGCTGAGGGAATTACAGTTCACTCTGATTTCATCTGAGGCAGTGATCAAAGACAGCTGCATGTCTTTTTATGCATGCATGTGAATACTTTAGTTATATAAAAATGGTCTCCTTTTATTCGGATGGTGAGATGATCCAGTGTTGACTTTAAACACCCAACAGTAAAATAATTCTCTAAGCATTTTATCTGCTTGAGCCTCTGCTGAAGCCACTGGTGGGTTTTTACCACAGCACTGTAAAAACCGGTTGGACTGAATTGCGGTTTAGCCTGCAGAAACCATATTAGTTAATTATTACTTAGTTTAAAAGTCATTGGCAGCCGTGTCTGATTCACCGGATGGCCTAAGGAGAAGTGGCAGCTTTATTTTTTATCTCCTTGTGTGATTTGTATCTGTGCAGCTTCCTCCTGGAGCTTTTTCATGTCGTAGCAATGGTGGCGGTTTCTGTGGGAGTGATATAAAACCTTAATATAGAAAGTGTTCATGTGTTGTAGTTCCCTAACTCCATCCCCCTGGTATCTCATCCAAAGTTTGTTCCAGTAAGCAGTAATGGGCCATGCAGGCTGTAATGTGTGTGACGCAGAGAGCCAAACAGCTCACATATGTGAATCGTAAGGAGCTCATTTGCATCTCAGTGGGGTTAAATCCAACAGCACTGGGAATAAAACATGGCAGGAGGCTTGGCAAGGCAGATATCAGTTTGGAGGAACACAACATTACGCCACTGTAAGTTAAAAGCTCGCTTTTATTTGCATTGCTTACATTCCCCACCGTGCCACAGCCATTAGCATATTCATTTTGGTTTCACTAGAAGAAAAGCAAGCAGCATAAAGTACCAACATGTGTCTCTGGTTGGCAGCGGTTGTCACTGGAGGGTTTTCTGAACCAGTTTATTGCTTTTTACAATCCTTCAATCTTTTATTTATTCATATTGTCTGCACTAAATATGCTTATTATAGTGATAATTCAATGTAGAAGAACTGTAAATTAAAATTTGATGTTTAAATTAAATTCATGTGATTTATTACCAGATGACTGATGTCTGAGAACAGAGATAGAGGCATATCTGCATCTAATTGCAGAGACAAATGTAAAATCTGTGTTTGTAGAGAAATTAAGGTCTTAACAGGAAGATACCACTTGGTATCTTCCCTTTGGCTTCTTCTCGGCTTATAAGTGACAAAACATACCAGATAGTTCGCTCTCTTTTTAGTTTCTTTTGCTTGTTTCTCATTGGTCAAAGTTTATTTATGACTTTTGCCTATCATTAGTGCATTACCTTAATTTTTATATTTACTAATACAGAAGAGGAATTTTTCTTCTGTCAAAGCAACTTCAGTCAACTTTTCTCCTATGATTTTTGTCAAATTGTCCTTTTATTTTGTTTCTATATTAAAAATAGCACTAAAATGTTATCAAATGTTTGTAGAATATAAAAACTACATTGAATACAAATTTAATGACTTTTTCTTAGAATTTTTTTTTTTTTTTTTACAAAATGATTATTTTAACAGCATTTGAACAAATCCTGGAGGTTTGGTTCTCGTCAAAGTCACTATTTGACTTCTCTGATTAAGTTTAAATAAATTAAATCACACACATTAACTCTGGTTAACAATTAGGTGGTTGTGCTGGATTTTATTTGGGGGGTATCACAGTGAAGCAGTTTTATCACATGAAATCTTGTTACATATATTGAAATTTTCCGATGTGAAATCTGTAGACCTATATATTTGTTTGCATCTTCAGTTGTAACTGAATCATTCAGGACAGATTTCAGCAAAAGGTCTGAATAACTGCAGAAATCTGTCCATCTGCCTCTAAACAAGCCAGCGCCTGTTAATGCCCAGTCTGGACAGGAAGTCCACTTCTTCACGTGATTCTTCCTACGTCCTCATTTATCATGTCCTCTTGTCTTTTTCCTCAGTGCCTACACAGAAGCCTACAACGTCTGTTCGGTGGCAGCCGGTGCCATGAATGACGGTCGGGGAGAGACGGTGGGGGACGAAGACCAAGGACGCACCTCTGAGGAGGAAGACGTGGGGACAGACGTCAACTATGACCGACAGGTTGGCTCCCACCAACACTGAGTCTGGGAAAATCAAATCATTCTAATTAAAACCTTGTATTTATTTCCCAATTACTGCTTAAGGATCTTTTAATTTAAATTTCAACTTATTTCTGTAGTTATTTGGAGGAGCCTGGTGTCTGATATTGGAAAGGAAATTAGAAGAACACAATGACAAAAGGGAATTGCTTGTGTTTCACCTCCTTTTATTGCACAAAGGGTCTCACAAATCAAGATTTAGAGGCAGATTAATGGAGGATAATGGGCTTCTTGAAGATTGTCAGAGTTATTAGGAATTTAAGCACCGCTTGGAGATGCTGTGAAGAGGGGAGACAGTTTACTGTACATTTGTTGAACCTCAGCCAAAATGAGTGAATTACTTGTAATGCTGGGCCAATTAAAAGTTAGTTATGTGACTATTTACAGTCCGATGGTCGATCCAGAGCCTTTTACATCGTTAAAGAGCTGGTGGATACAGAGCGACTGTAAGTGTAATTATCTTGTTTCATTTCATGTTTGTCTGTCTGTTATAAATAATCATGCTCCAAAATGAATCCTGACTAAATGAATGTTTTCATTTTGGTGTTTAGACATGTGAAGGCCCTCAGATTGCTGCAGAAAGTGAGTGAAGTGTCTTTATCGTTCTTATAAAACTTGTCCAATATGCATTGTACACCGTGCAGAAGAAATGTATTTGCACCATGCCAGAGTTTTTAAACCATTAAGTGAAGTCCTCCACTTTTGCCACTCGGTTAGGACTTTCGGAAAGCTGTTGGGTCTGCAGTCGGGGATGACGGGCAGCCTGCGATGGACGATGAGACGCTCAGAGAGATTCTCAATGAGCTGCCTGATGTCTACATACTGCACAGCAAAATCCTCTCTGAGCTGGAGAGTCGAATCGGACAGTGGTGAGTCTGCAGGAATCAAACGACACTTTCCTGCAAAAAACCCCCAAAAAACTGGCTGACATATAAGCAAAACGAGATGCACTAATCAAAATTATGGGGCCAATTTCTGATTTCCAGTTTTTGTAAAGTCTTGATTTGCCATGAGCTATTTTAGTCTAAATTTGAACAGCATTTAAAATATTTACTTAAATTTCCTGCTGTGTGTGTGTTCATTTTTATATGTTTTTGTAAGATTGAACTATTATTTGAACCAAACATAAAATATTAAATTATATTAGCAATTATTACAATTACTGAAACCTCAGTTTTGAATATTGTAGATAACGTAGAGCCTTACAGTGACTGAGATCTTAAAAAAGCTGCTGACATGTTCAGCTTTATGTTTCAAAACTTAAAGCACAACTAGATAAAACTAGACATCTTTATTGTACTGCAGTGAGCCTTCCCGTTATCTTTAAAATCTTGCTCTCTCTCATAGTTTCATACATCACAGAAACCCTATTTTGATTAACTTCATACACCTCTGAGCTTAAAAAAAAAACTAACCCAGACTCCTCTTTGTTCAGTAAAAGCTTTCAAATTGGGAGTATTGTTATTCATTAGTACTGCTACATTTACTGATTTTTTTTCAGTGATTTTTTTTTCTTGTTAATTTTCAATCATCACTATCAGTGAGAAACTATCCTCTTCCATGATCTCACCTCAGCAGACTGGTGGACGCTGCTTCCTCTGTTTACTTCTACCTTTGGTTTCTTTCCATTCAGGGAGGACAGCCAAAGGATTGCTGACATTTTCCTGTCCAGGAAAGCAGAGTTTTTGATCTTCACCACTTACATCGGCCACTATGATCGAAGCATTAGTTTACTGGAGGACGGCTGCAGAGCTTCACCTGCGTTTGCAGCTATTGTTCAGAAATATGAGGTCAGATCTGTTGTTTCTCTCGTTCAGAATTTGCAATCTTTGCTTGTAATTTTGCATTTCAAATGTTGGAGGTTCTTAAGATCCTGAACTTAGTATTATTTATACAGTGTTACCTTCTGGTATGGTGCAAAATTACAACTATGAATGCAGTTTCTTATTACAGGGTCACTTTGCTTAATCTCTGTTTAGTTTATGAAATAGAGTTGCAGCATCTGTTCACTGTTTAAAACAATAAAGTATTTTGGATGTAACTTCAGCCTCTGTCGCAGATCAATGCTGAGGTTGTTTATCCCCCTCGGGGGCTAATAATACAAACTACCCCTGTCCTTTGCAATAACGCAGCTGAATTGTGGATGGATGTCCAGTGGGCCTGAGTGTGTTTCGTTTATGAACACAGGAGTTTTAAAGGTTCTCTCCACGTTTTATCGACCTCTGAGGAGAGAGCTGGCATCAAGTCTTTGCAGAGCTGTGCAGTTTTCTGACAGATTTAAGTGCCTGGACGTTGAACATGTCCTTTGATTCCCTTGAATGCTTTGTTTATTAATGCCAGCGGCTATTTTGTTTGCCCTTTAAATGTGAAACTGGTGATAAAATGCTTTTCCCCCACACCTGGGCTGGTCTAAATCTGATTGATTTTTCAAGCTGCTGTTTAGGACTCAAAAACACAAGGCTGCTGAATGCTGAGGCAAATATTACACAAACAAATGTATCCATACTGCTAAGATGTGGACTGAACCTTAAATGAAACCCCATTAGAAGCAATTCTCTTACACTCACTTATATGAATTGTTATGCATGTAGTAAATAAACTATATCTATAATTATATTAAAATGTGTCGCAGTCCTAGTCCTGTATACTAACATTTGATGGGTTTGATTTGCAGATACAAATAATTCTACCATATAAAATGGATACATAAAATAAATCCTGAAATAATGTTTTTTTTTTTTTTTTTACATATAATATATGTTTAACATATAATAACTCTATTCATTTATGCTAATATAAAGGTTTCATTTGTGTTTTGTTGTTTTATTCATTATTCCCAGTAAAAAAACAGTCCTACGTTAAATTGGTCTGAAAGACGACTCAGGGAGAAAAAAGTATTTACTTCAAAAGCGTAAAAGACAGATTTAGAACAATCTCACATTTAAACTTTAAAGGCTCTTCTCAAACTAAAAGTAAATTCTTTGAAGTGTCTCTTTCAAACTGTAATTTATTGTTTTAGGAGCAGAACCCATCCGGGGAGAGAGTTTCTCTCCAGCGTCAGCTCCTGCAGGTCGTTGTGCGTGTTGCTCAGTACCGTCTGCTCCTCACAGGTGAGTCGCTAACTAAAAAAATTAAAGAGTAATTGATTCACAATGATGCAGATATTATCACAACAATGACAGATGATGGTTTGGTGAATTTGTTTTATTCCGAAAGTAATAATTGCTACCTCTCCTCTCAGATTATCTAAACAACCTGTCCCCCGATTCCAAGGAATATGAAGACACCCAAGGTACAGTAAACATGTGGCGATACCACAAACAAAAACTACCCAGCTGCTGCTCTGTTCACGCTCTCTCTTAGTGCCAGGGGAGCTTTACATGACTCTGTGTGTGGCTTTGTGTTCACTGCAAACCTATTTGTGCTCATTTGGCATGGAGGAACGGCCAAGAGAGAGCCAATTAAGATTTCTTTGTTTGGAGTGGAAACCCACTAGACAGCCACTGCAGCTCCTTTCTGCCTGCAGACCGATGTGTGTGATACACCAGGAGGCAAGCCACTGCAACACTATCTGATGCTGCAGAACCGATAAGGGAGACGTCTCAGTCAAAACATGCAGACGCTCCCAGACTCCTCACTGACTGTACCGTTTACATGCAGGCAAAGAGTTTCAAAACTTCCTAACAGCTATGAGAATTTGTCGAGACTGATCAGTCACCGTTTTATTTGTCTTTTACAGCTGCAGTGGCGATCATGTCTGACATTGCAGATCAAGTCAATGACAGCTTAAAACATGGGGTGAGTGTCAAATTAACCTCTGAGACACAACAATAACTATTTGCTGGAATGAAATTAAGTGTTTTACCTCATTTCTTAATAAAGAAGAAGATATGTCACTTAGTAGCACAAGATTAGCTGAGCCTCCAAGTTTAATAAAACATGGATACATTTTGAAATGAATAAAAATAACCAAAAGAATCAAAATCATGTGATGTGATGTGAACACAGAATCACTGAGGTTCTTCTGTGTTCATATTGTAGTCAACCTGCTCAATCATGTTATTGATATTTGAGACAAACAATAAGTGATTACAGGCTTTGATGTAGTACAAATTACACAAAAGTTAAACACCTTCATTTGGATGATTCACTCAGTGTAATTTATACAAGAAACAGATCACCATGATGAAATATTTTCCATAATTATGCATGATTTTTACTACGTCTAAACGTATATTATTTCATTAATGCATTTACCAGATGTAAATTAACATGGGAAAAAATAAAACATTTTGAAAAATGTTTTTCCAGACAGTAGTCCTGTTTGTTTTCCCTAAATATCCATTTTGTCTCATGTCCATAAGCTCCTCACCAATGAAAAGACACTGAAAATGTGCATTTACTGTGTATAAAATATAGAACTTCAGCATTCGTTAGTCTGCAAAATGAAAGAAAGAAAACCGAATGTATTCCCTTAAACTCACCTGTAATTTATGCTTCGCTGTTTGAAAGAAAACATACATTTATGAAACAACCTAACTTAAAATCCTGCATCTAAAAATGCGTCTGGATTAAAGTTTTTCTGTGATTCATAGTTTTATAGTTCCTAAAGTGGCATTTTTCACTCTCGACTCATACGTTCCAAATAAAAACACTTCTATTTGATCCAAAGTCAACAAAACGTGTCCTGTCTTGTGATTCAGGTGATGACAACCGTAACTTCTGACTCTTTCATCTCGTGTCTCGTATTTTGACTTGTCATCTGTCTCACTCTGCTGTTTTGTCTGTTCCTCAGGAGAACCTGTTGCATCTGATCAACATAGCGTACAGTGTTCACAGCCCACGGGACCTAATTCATCCTGGCAGGGTATGACTCTGATAAGAGCATTGTTTTCTGTCTGAGCCTTTCTGTTTTGGCCAACCCACCCTGTCTGCCCTCCACCACCCCTTGTTGTTGGCCTTTTACACAATCAGCGAGCTGGGAATACCCTGCCAGCCTGGCCTAAAATAACAAGGCCGGACGGCTGCAGATGCACTGCGTTTGTCAGGATCACAGGAGCTGCCAGGGGTGCCTGGTTTGATTTAACCGTGTTTTTTTTTTTCTTTTCTGAACTGTCAGGTTTTTGTGAAGGAGGGAACCCTGATGAAGGTCAGCAGGAAGAGTCGACAGCCCCGACATTTGTTTTTGGTAAAGGCTACTTCCTGCTCGCAATTACACTGTGACACACAGTTTATATCTGCGTTTTTGTGGATATACTAAAACCTGTACAGTTTGCAGAATTGTTGTTTTTACTCAAAACGTATGTTTAAAACACAGAGTGGGGAGTTTTCAGCCTGATCTATTTCCATGTCCAGACTGAGCTATTAGGAGCAGGAGTTTCCTGGCAGGATGTTTCCGAATGTTGAGTTCCTGAATCGGTGCTTCACTGCCGGCAGAAGGAAGGCGGCGTGGATCTTTTAGTTCCCTAAGACCTGAAAGGTCCACACAGACATCTTACCATGCTTCATGTGTGCATCCTATCAGCTACTTAGCTGTAAACTCACTAAAATTATGTAAGAGTGAACAGATAAGGACGAAGGAAAAAGGTATTTAGCTTAAATACTATGTTGCAACCTTTGACTTGTTGCAGTATTACTCACAGTATAAAGTAATATTGTGAGTAATACTCACAGTGTAAGTATTTTATCCATTTTATTGAGATAATCCTAAAGTAAAAATAATGATGGAAAGAAGTCATTTTATTATTTTTTGGCAATAAGTTGTAAAGCTTTCACCTTATATAACTACATAAAGTCAGAAGCTCACAAATATTACTCCCACAATAAAGCTTATACTCTTTTTGAAACAGGTCAGGTTGGCTAGAATATACAGGATAAAAAAAATGTATATAGATATAGTACTAAATGCATATTTTAGCAGTTTTTTATATTCTTTTTCATAGAATTTCTGCATTAAATTTTCACAACAAAATAGCAACAATACCAGTGATCATAAACATCAACATCCAAAAAAAAAAGAAAAGAATATGGCAATTTTCAAAAAATGACCACAAATTTCATGTAGCAGATATTCATTAAAACAACTGAAGTTGTATTATTTTTTCTCCCCTCTGCAAATGTGACACATTTTCAGCTCTAAATGAGATTTTTCTGCTGGATTGAGGGTAAAAATGGCTTTCATTTTGCAAAGGTTGCAGACTCCTTGTGTGTCACATAAGATCACAGTAAAATATAAGGAGAATGAAAAAGCCAAGAGCTTCTCGAAAGTTGTTAATTATCCAGTTATCAAGGTGTCTTGCTGTGACATTTAAAGTTTGTATTATTGTCCCAGATCCTAAAGAGGCTCAGAAGTGTCTCATCTAACAATTACTGCAAAATTAATCAGCAGGAGAAGGTAGTTTGTGTAAAATTAGATTTCTAGAATCTGACAAAAAAATAAAAAATAAAAAAATCTTGTTCTTTTAATGTACTAAAGTGTACAGTGACTTTAAACAGGTCCAAGGTAAGGTGTGTGATTTGATCTCTCTCAAAAGGGTTTTGCTGTGTGATTTTCTCTATCATCGTTCTGATTCTTTCCTTTACTGTAAAATTACAAAGTTACTTTCATAAGATTTAAATAGAGATTAAATGCATGTTCTAATTGGATCAGATTATTGTTACAATTATTTGATAATGACAATATTCAAAACTCAAATACTGTCTTCATGTGGAAAATCTCACAGCAGAGGAGTTCTTTATTAGTCTGGAGTGACACCTACTGGAGAGTTGCAGCTAATGCACAAGTAATCAAAGCTGGCTTGGTGACTGTTTCCCCATTTTATTTATATTATTTGCATTCGTTTATTTATCTTGTTCTTCTGCAGGGTTCACAGTGAGTGCTTTGTCTTTTTTCAGATGAACGATGTGCTGCTCTACACTTTCCCCCAGCAGGACGGGAAATACAGACTGAAGAACACGTTGCCACTCAGTGGGTTGAAGGTCAGCGTCTCGTCTTGTGTTGCTCTCACTGTGATTTTCAGCCACACATTTTCTTTCAAGATCTCCTCCTGCTATATATTTCATTCTTTGCATGTTTCTCCCTCCGTCTCTCTCGATCTAATATTTGATTCATGATATTTTTGACAAAATAAACAGGTCAGTAAACCCAACATCCCAAATGTCGAGAATGCCTTGAAAATAGAGGGATCAGAGATCTCCATTGTCCTGTCTGCCAGGTGAGTCAGTCTAAAATAACAACAAATACAAAATTGAATAAATAAAATCATTCAGATCAGATGAGTAGTGTGTGTGTGTGTGTGTGTGTGTGTGTGTGGTGTGTGTGTGTGTGTGTGTGTGTGTGTGTGTGTGTGTGTGCGTGCGTGCGTGTGTGTGTGTGTGTGTGTATCTTTTGCAGCTCTTTCCTTGAAAGAGAGGACTGGTATTATACTCTCAATCGCACTGTGACTGAACAAGCCAAAGGCTCTGCAGCCAGTTCTGGAGAGGTGAGCAAATTAATGAAATTAAACTAATAATTAGATGCATAAGTTTGTTTTTTTGGTGTACATTTGAATGTAATGTAGATGCTGACTTTAAAATATGCTTTTCTAACCAAAAAGTGATTAAATATCCAAGCACAATTATGACAAAAGCTCATTCAAACAACAAAGGGACATCCATTCAAACTTTTAATTAATACATTTAGATATCAGTGATTTCAATTCTTTCTGGATTTGAAATAAATTGCAAAAGCAGTTCTTCTCTACCATGAAAACTTTCCCTAATTTATCACTAATATTGTACTTAAAAATATATCTCCCATTTCAAAAAAATTTGTCAAATATCCAACCAAAATTATGACATGGCTATAAAAACCATAGTGTTCAAAGTGCAATTAATAAAGTGACATTCATTCTCACATTTTGTTGAGTATTTATATATGCCTATATGTATCTATGAGTTCAATTCTTTCTGCGTTAGGGTGTTTCAGAAATGTTTTATAAAAGGAATTGTTCAATTAAGACATTAAAAGCCCCTAATTAATGACATTCAAGGCTGTGATTGGTGTATGTAAACCTCTTGCTGCATCACAGCGACACTCAGGAAGATGTGCAACTTCCTGCCGTCTGTTCAGATGAAGCGCTGAAGGTGTTTGCATGTCTTGCAGACCAGAGATCGTCTTAGGCTTTCTCTTGGAGAAAAAGCTCCCACTCTCGTTCCTGTCTCAGAAGTGATGATGTGCATGAACTGCACTGCAGATTTCAGCCTCACTGTTCGCAGACACCACTGCCACAGCTGTGGAAGAGTAAGTCATTTACCCTAAGACACTAAACTCTGTTTTGACCTTCATTAGTAGATCAGGGAAGAAACTGATGTTTGAAGACCACAGTCAGCTAGACACATTAAGACTTGACTCTCTGTGTGGAATGCTTCCAGTGTTTTTAGAGATTGTTTAACATTTTTTCTTCATTGTTACAACAGATTGTTTGTCGAAGCTGCTCCAGGAACAGATATCCACTGAAATACATGAAAGACCGCATGGCCAAAGTGTGTGACCACTGTTACAACGAGCTAAAAAAGAGAGGTAATAAAAAAAATATCTTCTTTTTAAGTGTGTTGAGGCTTATTTCACATAACAGATGTCAGAAGTTTTAATATATACATATATAAACTAACAAAAGAAGTGACAAGCCAGTTGAGATCATAGCTGAAGTTTGCCAAAGAGTGAAGATGTTATATCGGGACATTAACCCAGATATTAATACACAACCCAGTGGCCTTTCAGGAAAAATGTGCTTGTTGAAATGTGGTGCCTGAAAGGGAAAATAAAAATATACAATCATTCATTTAGTTCAGACAGAAAAATAAGTTGCTGCTTCATCCGATTATCATCAGAGGAACATCTTCAGATTCCACCTGTTCAATTTTCCAGGATCAAAAAGTGATTTTAATGTAGAGACTTTTTTGGTTGGTGAAAAATGACAAGAAAAGTTTATTTAGTTTCAGTGTATTTTTCTACATCAAGATCTTTGTGTCTGATTTTAGTATTTACCTTTGTTTTCTTTATTTCTGAGGGTTAGATGTGGTTCTAGTTCTTCTGTTCAGTTGCTGTTTGTGTCTGTAAGTTCCTGAGTTTTGTAATTAAATATTCTTCATCATCTACCGTCCACCTTCGTCTTGCTGCATTTGGAAACTGTTTTCCCACAAAATCCAAACTGACTTTTTAGGTGACTTCATCTGTGAAATGTTTATTCCTAATCTGTGGTCAGAAAAACATGTTTGCTCTTGTGGTTATCAAGCTGAGGAAATGTAAGATTCCTGTAAGCGACTCGCTCCTTGGGAATGAATCACTCACATATCTTGCTTCCTCTTTTGGGTAAAAGGAAACCATTTGTCTTTGCAGGAGAAGAAGTGTCTGAGCTCTCAGCCAAAAGTAGCCCTCGGTTGACCCGCTCCAGTCGTCCCCTTTCCACCGTATTCCAAAATATTCATCCCCCCAACATATGGAGACATCGAAAAGGCACTGTCTCTTTTACCCAGGTAAAAGAACAAAATGCCCCACTCACAGTGCAGCAGGTTCTCCTTGTTGTGATTAGTAAGAAAAGCTGGCGTTATTTTACAGGCAACCATGTCAGAGGAAGGCTCCATCAGTGGGACTCTGCAGCGGAGCAAGACAAGCAAAAGGAACTGGAAAAGACTGTGGTTCCTGCTGAAAGACAAGGTGCTTTACACCTACCGAGCCCGAGAGGTGAGGGGAAACATGCAATCCCCTTTGACCTGCACAGCACACAGTGACATGCAAAAGTATTCATGCATATTGTGTGCAGTTAGTAAAATTACAAACACAAATACTAATGTACTTGTAAATATCCTTGTGCAACTGTTAAAATGTGAAGTGAAAAGAAAGTCTGAAGCACCGTGTGCCGTATTTTCAGTCTTTAGTTAATACTTTACAAGTACATCTGTAAGTGTTTTGGAATATGTTTCCACATAGATTTTTGCAGATTTGCTCAAGCTCATTCTTTGAGGTCTGGACTTTAACTTGGCATCTAAACTTGGGAATAATTTTTTGCAAACTGCAGCTGTATTTGTGCTTAGACTTAATTATACGTATAGGAAATGCTGTCGCACTGGGCACTCCTTTTATGTTGGGCAGTCACTTAGAATGCCCTCAGTGAAAGTTTGCAGCTTTTAATCATACCACTTGAAATTAGAAAAAAATTCAAGTGCCATCATTTCTTTTTTACACTTAAAGAAACACTTGAAACAGCATTATTTAATATTTATATGATAAATGAAAACAAAATAACTGCATATAGCAATTGTTTGTTATCCTTGTCGTTTTTTTGTGGGTTTTTTTTCATCTTCAGGAGAAGGTAGCGTCAGAAAGTTTACCGCTTCTGGGTTTCACAGTGAAGCTACCTGACAAGCAGGGAAGAGACACAGAGGCCAACATCTTCCAGCTTTACCACCAAAATACTTTGTATTACACCTTTAAAGCTGAAGATAACTTCACAGCTCAGAGGTGAGAAGCTTGTTTAACTTACAACTCATGATATGACATTAAAATGTTATGTATAGGGAAATGGTGTGTTTTTAGGATTTTGCCTGCACTGCATCTTTTTCTCTTAATTAAATTAAAACTGCAGTCATGTGATCTTTTTTAAAGAAGTATAATCTGGATCAGAATCTGTACTCCCTTTGACAAAACAGCAAAAACTAAACTCTTTATAGCTTCATGATCAAGCTTTTGACTATAACAAATCACTGGAAAGTTCATTTAATTTATTGATTAATGTATAGAGGCACTGGCATTTGATATCAACAAATATTACTCATTTTGTAATCTTTGTAATCTGTAATTTGTGGTCGTAGTTCAGTTATTGTTTTCAAAAACAAACATCTTGAAAGTTTTATCTTGGGTTGTTAGACTTAAAATGCTGATTTATGACTGAAACAGAGGGTAGAGTTGTCTGGTTGATGCAGATCAATTTCAGCAGATCAGTTCTATTCATGTCTTTTAGCAATCAAAAATCAAAGACAACAACAATTACATGTGGAGTTCCTCAAGGCTTCATTCTCGGGCCACTGCTATTGAATATCTATGTGCTGTCCCTGCTCAGATTATTATAACCTACTAACTCTCTTATCCTCACTTCATGACTACAGTTTATAATTGACTATCATAAAAAATGTATGACTAAATCATCTTACTTCATCACCAGCACATAATAAAACAAAATAGCTTCATCTAAATGCTACTCCAGGATCCTGACCAAAGCCAGTGTTTAGATCGCCTCATCAGCTCCCTTTTTGTAAAAGGTCACGTTTTAAATTATGATAATAATGTTGGACCAAAATACATTCAAGATATGAACCATGTAGACTTTTCAGTGTGTCCAGGACCAGAACTAAACAACAGGAGGCAGCATTTAGTTTCTATGCTCCTCAGCTCTGGAACAAATTTTGTTACATGCAGGTTTTCCACTAAAGCTAAATATTAATGCACCACTCCATTCTCATCTTACTTTAGCTACTTAAAGTTTTTGCTTTGGTTTCTCATTTGAAATGCACAGGTAGATACATAAATTGTTATTATTATTATTTGTAGTTTTTAATGTAATAAACACTGCTATACAATATTGACTTCATCTAGTTGTAATTCATGTTGTCCTCCACTTATGTGAAATCTTTTACCTTCACAGGTGGGTCAATGCAATGGAGGAAGCCACAAATTTATAGACTCAACCCTTCTGCTGCCTTCACCCTCCTAAAACCCTGTCTACAAAAAGTGATTGGACGTAAGACCAAACTGGAGAGACCGGAGAAAGGCACTTTTCTGTTTGTCGGCATGTCGCAACGCCCCCAGCTAAGCTGAGGAGAGGAATACATGGTGTTCTTTAAAAAGAGGACACAATCTACCTACTTTGTCCTTCTGCAGTGTTCTTCCCTCCCCGCTGTCGCAGCAGGTGTGACACCAAGGGCTGCAGGAGATGATGGCCCAGATACCTGCCAGTGTGGAGCGCCGCCTGTCAGCTGTTACTCACCGCCCCATTTCCCAGAATCCATCACCGTTATTATCACGTCTTACACAAGACACACAATACAGTCAATTCACGGCATGTTTGGACATGGTTAATTTATTAATCTGTTTGACAACACTGAACAAAAAAATGAAAAGTCGGATTTTGTTCTTGTTTACATGAAAAAACAAGCTGAAGCCTCAGTCACTAATCTCAAATGGCCTCATATTTGCTTTGATGTATTGATGCCTTAATTTCAACATGTGCTTTTTGTACTTTATTTAAAGCATAAAAACACTAATTGGTGGGAAGAACAGATTGATCAGACAAGAGAAACATATTTTCAAAAGACTTATTTATCTGTGTACCATATTGTTGGAGAGAGTCCTTCGTGTAAATCAATTTCTTTCTTAGTTTGCACTGATATTAAAGGCATAATTCAGATCTTTTTTTAGCCAGTTCACCTTCAAAAATTTAGAAATAGATGATAATTTACCTGCAGTAAATACAAACATCTGTATTTTGATTTAGTAAGGACCCAGATAAGCTGGTCCCAGAGACATGAGAAAACAGAGAAAACTTCTCAAAATAAGTCCAGTTACCGATACTTTCCCCCCATATTTTGAACCAGGCATCTTTTCTGTGGATTTTTCTTCAACCACCAGGGATTCACTTCTTTAGCAGGAAGTGAATCATTGTGAGTCAAAATTAGAACTCAAAGAAGAAAGCGCTGATTTTCATTTAGAACAAGCGCATGCTAGCAGCAGGCACGACGGAGACATTTCTTCAAACTCATATGAAGTAACTTTTAAGTTGAAAGCTATTGATCTGGCAGTTGTCAATATCAAGTAATATCAGTGTTTTAGAGTCCAAGCTTGAATTCAACAGACAATCTGTTGAGGGAGCTAAAGATTAGGGTGATGACAGAGAGGTGTTCCAACCTCATGGCTAAAAATAAATAGACCTGATAACTGTGAAAACGCTTGTCAGCAAAATACAAACTAGTTGGATGTTGAAATATTTAAAATGGCTGCTCAGAAGCATACAAATATTGTTTGCAATGCAGTTTTTAAATTAAAATGCAAATAAATACCAAAAAAATTGTTATTGGAAAACTAAAACTCTTTTTCAATGTTTTTTTTTTATTATTCTTTGAGAGATGACTTCCACATATTCTAAGGAAACTTCTTAGTTAAGTAAAAATAATCTTAATTCCTAATCTGCCAGGGTTCTGAATAAGTTTTTACCTTAACTGTATTTCATCTATTTGGAAACACTTTACAAGTTTTGCAGGTATTTCACGGAGGAACATCATTGGTTGCACACTGGCTTCAAGCTCCATTTTCTACTTGAATATTCATTGAATTATTTGCTAAAAAACATGATAAACACTCAATGCAAATAGATAGTAATATAAAGGTCAAAAAACAGCATTTGCATGAACTGCTACAATATCTTTAAGCGTTGTTTGTTGTCTTTGCTCTTGAACTCAACGCCAGCTTCAGCCTGTGGGACAAACTCATTTGGATTTGAACTAAATAGAGATGCTTTGGAGGTTAGCTACTGCAGGTGAGAAATTAAATCTGTGCTACATCAACAATTTTGAACTATGCCTTTAAAAAAATTCTGAGCAAACAAAAGGGATTAAATCTTTGTCTACCTACTGAAAAAGTATGTAATTTTTAAATATCTTATAGCAAGTGCAATGTAAATTCATTTTTGTGTAAAGAGTCGCCATCTATCTGTACACAGAAGCGCTGGCTTCGATGGAAACGTGAAACTCAGATTGACTGCACTGAGCTGCATAATTAGTGTCTTGGATTTTGTACTGTACCTAATGATTTATAACATCATTTGCATTTTTAGGCAAAGTAAAAGAGACAAATGATGGAAAACTGCCTTCGCTCTTTTACGTTCTCCTTGTGTCCTCTAGATGGCAGGTGAGGTTCATTTTGAAGTGAAGCAGAGAGCTACCTACTTCCTGTCTCAGTGCCCTTGTTAAGTGAACATGTAGCTCTCACGCACCAGAACTACAGCTGCACTTGCAGGACTCCGGCTACTACCGGTCTGCCACGAGACGTGGAGCTGGCAGATGTCTCTGAACTGCGGGAGGAGACGCAGCAGAGATTGAGGGATACGCAGACCCATGCGGCCAATGAAAGGCCAGGCCTGCTCTGCTTTCCATCTCCCCCCTGAGGCTGCCTGACCCAGAATAATATCAGGCACAAAGTTTGCTTTCTGGGACTGCTGAAAAGTTGCAGACACCTCGTCCTACATAAAGGACAGACCATTTATCACTCTGCTCTGCCTTTCCAGCCCCACTTCTGCTTTCTTCTCTTTGTTTCTTAAATTGTGTCATTTTTTTGCCCTCTGCTGCTAATAATCCAAAAGACTGGAGCTTTACATTTTATTTTACATTAGAAATATATTTTATGGAAATTCTATGTGATAAAAATTAACTTAAGCGTTGATTGAATACATGGTTTTCAAACACATTAGATGCATTTGTTTTCAACCTCCTTTTCTCTGATACCCCAAAATGAAACTCAGTGCAACCAATTGCCTTAAGTAAATAAAACCTTTCTGTGTCTAATTAGCACTTTAATGCATGAATTATGATCCTTATGTCAGAATTGTTTTCCAAGTTGTTTTTATTTTTCGTAAGCCGTAAGGGTGGGGAAAAAATGATAAAAACAAAGCTAAATTATAGATTTCTTTTTCTTTTTTTTTTTTTTGTTAAACGTAATTTTATCCAAATACAAAGTTATTTGGAAAATACGTCAGTAGTATTGTACTTTACTTTACTTGATGTAACAATATATATTTTTACCTGCAAGAGTCGTCTAAAGTAGAAGAATGGACCGGGTTGGTTGGCATGCTTTATGTTTGTCTGCCATGTTGGATTTAACAAAAGTTTTCTTGCACTTGCAGTGGATGGCCAGTAGTTGATCGTGTATTGTATTGTAGGATGCACTAAAGGTTGGCTGACTCAGATGAAAGTCAAACTTTCACCTGCATACAAAATGCCATGTGATGTGGAAAACACAAAATGTACATCACATAGTGGTGGGAGCATCATCCTCTGGGGATGTTTTCCCCCGCAGGAACAAGGAACTTACTCAGAGCTGACCGGAAAGTGGACTGACCTATAGAGCAATGTTGGAAATAACCTGCTAGTGGCTATAAAACACTTAAGAATGAGGTGGAGGTTCACTTTCCAGGAGATTAATAGCCTTAAATATATAGCTAGAGATTCAATGGTTTTGATAAGAGGATATTGTTGGAATGGCTTAGTCAAAGTCCAAGCCTAAATCCTTTGAGAAACTGTTGCTCTCCGTCCAATCTGATATAGCTTCAGCCATTTTGCAAAGAAAGTGAGTCACAGTTTTCGGTTCCTAAATATACAAAACTTGTGGAAAAAGAACCTAAAAAACTTCCAGCTGTTCTTAACACTGAAACGGTTTTGTAAAATATTCACTAAAGACATTTCTAAATTTAATTTGTGAATAATTTTGAAACCATGAATGCTTTACTTCCTTTACAGGATTCTTAGCAACTTTATGTTTGTTGGTCTACCACAAAAAAAAAAAAAAAAAAAATCAAAATCAAACAGGACAAAATGTGGAAGTAGCTCTTCAGAGTTCAGTGCATTTTGCAAATACAAGCATAAATACCCGGTATTAATCAGACATCGTTTTTAAAATTCAAATACATTTTTTTGTATTTTTTTTGTAATATGGATATTTGGTGCTTACTTTTTTAACTTCTGCCTGTTAAGGTTTTGCAGACAGGAAGCTTTCATTGCTCGCTGAACAAATGGAGTGGATGCCGACTGCCCTTTTCATACTTCTTGTGCTCCAATTAAAACTGGAAACAAACTGCTGGAGTTTGCTGCCTCCACTGTGTGGTGGGATGTCTTTCACAGTCATAAACTGATCTTTCTTGTGCACCACTGCAGGCGGCAGAAAATGCAGAGGGAAGCAAATAATCAATTGTTCATGCAGCCCACTCAATAAGGTCAAATGCATTCAGCGCTGTTACATGTGCACAGCCTCGGGAGTCATTAACAGCTGCAGCCAAACTGGCTGAAATAATGTTTTGAGCTGAGCTTACTCCTCTATGGCTTGTTTTTCACTTGTGTAAGATTTTCTAGTCACAATGCAGCTTTGACCGTCTCTGACAGCCGAAGTTGGCACTGTGGCGTCTGAGGGTAGATGTCTTCAGCAACAACAACATGGTTTCGCATCTTTCGCTCTGCTGCGTGGGCAGCGTATCCCCAGGGGGATCAAAAGTGCTTTTTACACAACAGTTGGTGTTGATGAGAAATGGCTTTGTCCACTTGACATTTCTGGGTTTGCACTTTGTCTTGTGTTCCTCTGCATCCTTCTGAGATGCAGAGAGAGACGTTCTTCTGTCCCAGTTTGCAAACTCTTCGCAGCCCACACTGCCAAGTCGGTGTTGCACCTTTTCCACCTCCCCTGAAGCTTTAAATAGCCGTCTCTCCCTCAACAGGACCGGCGCAGAGCCTTCAGCGCTCTCTGCACCACAACCTGATCATTTATCATCCCTGCTGTCCAAACATGGACTCTGATATTTGGTTTAAGATGATAAAAATAAATCCTGGTGAATTTACAGACCTCATGATGAGATTGAAGATTAACACGCCCTTTCAGTTGTTGCAAATTGTCCAATCTCAAAGTTAGAACTGAGAAAACTCTCAGTCTGCTCTTTTCTCCGCCACAAAATATTACATTCCCAAACCTCTACAACCTCCTAAGGGCCATCTCATCAGATTTGCTGAAAAGCTGAATGGCTAAAGCATCAACTTGTGGTTTTAGTGAAGGGTGGAAGGAGGTGCGGGGAGCAGCAAAACAGATGAAAAGCTCTTACTAGGCTAGGAGCAGTTTCCAGGCAACCCTCAAAGACTTTGCAAAGTCATTACTTCAGCAGGAAAACACAGCAGCACCACGCATCCTTTACTAAGATTCATTTTCACCTTTTATTCTGCATGTTATCATAAGTTACGTAAGTTTTTCAAATGTTTTCTGCTCGTTTCTTTACATGGCACATACTCTTTTACTTATTGAAGCAGAATAGCGTACTCACAAAAAGAAAATCTCTACTTTTGCAAAACAGACTAGCAAACTTTCCATATCGGTGAAAAAGTATTTGGCACACATTTCTTCTGTTATTGCTTTTTTGACTCACTGTTTGATATTGTTATTATCAGAGAAAGAAAAACTGAGTGAGTTAACTGTGGTAGAACACAGCTTACCAAAATATTCACCAACACATACAATAAACTCTGACTTGATTAATGTCAGATATATTTAAGGAAGCGCCGAACCAAATGCTGTCCGCAGCACTAAGAGGCTAAAAGTTCTCAAGGTTTTAATTAATTTATAGTTTTTTTTAAATGAAATATGGTACTTTCTTTTGTAAGATTGCTTTTTGTCCATCAAACATATGCCCACACACCTTTTTGGTTTGTTAATGTGATCTTTTGGTGCCAGCAATGCAGCCCTGTAACACTCACAGTTGCCGTTCAGTCTTCCTCTGCTTCTGGATTCATAAACATGAACATCAGCTAAACTCAGACAAGCACATCTGTTTTTGAAAGTTTCTTTGACTTACTTTCTGAGCCTGCAGACTAGTGTGGACTTGCAGGAAATCTGCTGATTTCCAACGCAGGCTGCATGTTGATTTGTGGAGTTCAAATTATTAAGCCATAATTTGGTCTTTTACATCAAGGAGAAATAATTAAAGTATAGGCCTAAAAAAAATCTCTTTCATTCAAACCGTGATTCACTCCTACAAACGTGTCATGTGGAGCTTAAAATAAAACCGAGCGCCCACACACACTTCATCAGTCATCTTATTGACTGGAAACAGCTGACTCTAGTTTTACCTCCAAATTAGCTTGGGTACCCAAGCAGAAGTCATGTTGCAATATCCTTTTCTGGTTTTATTTCATTTCACTTGGTTTCTCTTTATCCTCTGTATTCCTCTGCCTTCCATAATGATCTGATTGCATCTCTGAACACAGCAAGCATTCCTGAACTAGAACATGTTCCAATTTCCAAAAAAAAACCCAATTCCCAGATCAGAAAAAATCCCTCAATCATATGTGTCTGTAAAACTGGGGAAAGCCCCTCAAAAACCGTAACATTTCATGAAAACACACATTTCTTTTTAAAACTATATCATCCCTGCTGAATGAATATAATCTGAAAAGGTTGATCTGAAGCGATTCAAACTGCAAATTTATCCACTTCCCACAGACCTGAACGTTTCATCGCTATGCTCAGGGAATTTCTCTGTGTATCTTGGCACTTTCCAGTTTCTGTATGCTAGATTTAACAACCGCCTGTTCTGCAGCCTATGCGTCCCATGGTGTGTGATAGCTGTGGTTATGTGAGGATGAGTGTGTGGGTGTTTGCAGGAGCAAGAAAAGAACAAGCATGGTTTCTTGAGTTTTTAAGGCGGGTCTGTCAAAGCCATTCACTGACACACAACACTCACACACACACGCATACACATGTCGTATCCACTAAACTTCCTGTGTCTGCCATGAGTCACAGAGGGCCTGTTATGTAAGGTTAGTTGGGAGAGGTGAACACTGACACACCTGTGTCCTGCAAGTCTCTCCACGCCAGACTCGGTTTTATATTTACTCCCGGCAGAATATGCAAGCCCGTGTGGAGTGTACCTTTAATTGTGACTCATCCACGGGGAATTTGTCGTTCCTTATTTAGGTCTCTTTTGGCTCCAGCCAATATTTCTTTAGTATAATCAGATCAGAATCGCTCACTTGGCATAAACCCCCTTTCTTTCTTGCACTCATTTGTACACATGCATGTAGGTGCGTGTGGCGTGTGCGTACGTGTGCATGTGAGGGGGTGGAAACAGGCAAAACGGCATAGAAAGGAATATGGATAGTTTGAGGTGCATACAAAAACACACAATATTCTTAGACTGCAGGAGGCAAATCTACCACCTCCTCACAGCCTCCCCCTCTGCACAACCTTGTTGCTGAAAACTACCCCTGCAGACTCCAGTCCCAGCCATGTGACTCCACCTCCTGCCACACAAACACTTCCCCCTCATACCAGAATGTAATCTAGGGCAAATTCACCAGCAATGCAGATATGAAGTTCAAGCGGGCGAGGCGTTTCATTCGCCCAGGTGAGCAACAGGCCTGCAGAGATTAACCTACACCACCACCCAGGGGGTGAAACGGAAAATTACATATGAGACGCTTTTGCATGCAAGGCTGTACAACAATAATAAACAAATAAAAAATAATTATAATAAAACAAACAAAAAACTTATAATACTTGAAACAACCTTGAATTACTTGAGTTAGGACAGCTGAGTGCCCTACTCTGTCTGTGTTGGGGAACACAGACGCCCCGCGTGTCTGCATACCGGGTAAACGTCACAACTTGCAAAGAGGAGCGCCTTACGGCAAGTCATTTTATCATATAATTGTAGGAGAGAAACTTTCTTAAGTTGATTCTTCCAAGTCGACAAAGTGGATTGTAAACCTGTACTGGTTGTTATTTATCCTACCTGAAATTAAGAATTCAAAAATCTCAAACGACATCCTACCTATTCATATTGTTAAGTCATCTGAAATTATTTTATATACAATCAAAGTACAACATATGT